CAGTCTGCCTGGCTGGTGGGGTTTGGAGGGCTTGACATGATGCTTGGTGCCAGGGTTTCCACTTGGCTCCTAAAAACCCTAAAGCCATTGACTAAAATAGTTAGTGTTTCAGGTAGTCAAGCTTGATAAGTAACAAGAATTTCGCCCTACAGTCGATTCACTTTACAGTATATTCTGTGAAGCGCTTTGAGACGTCTCGAAGACGTCATAAGGGGCTATATCAAATGCAAGGATTATTATTATTATAATGTTCTCTATTGTTTCCTACTCAAAGACTGTGCTCACTTTGTCCAGATAAATTCCACCAGTATCCTCAACCTTTGAAATCTCTTAATGCTTTCAATTCTGCTAACTTTTGCCTGTGCATAGATCAAAATAAATGACATTTCTATAGACATACTCACAGCTTCAGAACAAATGGCAGATTTTTTTTGTCACTGTCTAATAATGGGTTATTACTAATCGTAAGTCTATTTGTTTGCACTATATCACCTCTTGCATTGGCTGACAGCAGAAGGAAAGTTGCCAATCAGTAAGCATGTGGCAGATTGCAACGAAGCAAAGACCAATGCTGTTTCAACACATGGCTGGGGCCTGGAATCACTGAGTAAAGGATTATAAAGGATCTCAGAGAGTTGATGGATTATTACAACCATTACTATTACAACTATTACTCTCCGGGAATGAAAAATAGAAATTGAGGCGTTCAGAGCTGATAATTTGGCCAACCTATTTCTTTTACTTGATGTCAGTGCTTTCATAGAAACCCGTTATCACCCTGGAAAATTGGTTAGTTGCTGGTTAAATGTGGTTATTACCAGGTTCAAATGCATCAAACTAGGGGTTTTGCTTACCACTAATAGAATTCTAGGTGAACTGGAGAAAGCTGTCGACTGTGCACCCCAACTACTAGTCTTTTCCAGCTCAGTTTTCCTTAGAGCTTGCCTTTCATTTCCTTTTTCCCAAACTTAGTGCATTGTTAGTACAAGTTTGTTTTTCTCTGAAACCAAGTAAAGCATGTTCATTCCCTGAGCTGTTTTGCAGAATATGAATATTTCCTCTAAAACTCACAATCTTAAGTATAAGCATTTGAGACACAGCTTTTCCAAAAAGTTTTATCTCCACCTGAAGAAATCAGAATACTACTGCCCACTCTGTCTCTGGTAGAATAACTGGTGTCCTAAACCAAACAACAGGCTTAGAAATTTTGTTCAAACAACTTGTGCTTGTGTCATTGACATGCAATCCTTCACTCAAATGAGTTACCTTTGTTTTAAGTTCTCAGGTTGGCGATGCAGATAATCATGATGAAAGGAAACCTATAATTCTTGCATTTGATAGAGCATCTTTCACATTGAGAGAGCATCTCAAAGCATTTCACAGGATATACTGCAATGTGGAGTGCCAATTTGGCACAACTATTACTCACAAACAGGCATGAAGTGAACGGCCAATTTTGTTGGCGGTATTCTTGGCCAAGATAATGGAGAAACACTCCCTTCTTGTTTTGAATAGTGCCAAGGGATCTTTAACATGCTCTGAACAGGCAGAAAGGACCTTGGATTAAATACTCATCTGAAGGAACACACCTCCAATAATGCAGCACACCCCCAGCAATGCACTGGAGTGTCAGCGTAGATTATATGAGTTCCAGGTGCCGACATTGGCCAGGAAACCGGGAGAAACTCCCTTCTCTTTTTGAATGATGACATGGGAAGGGAAACTCCTTTCTAAGATTTACAAAGGCTAAGATTTTCTCTCAGACAAAAAATAACCGACTGTTAAGTCTTGAAGTTTCAGAGTTCAGCCCCTGAATTGTACCAGTGTTGTTGGGTCTGCCCCTACTTTGAGAATCAGGAATGAATTGAAAACCATTGGGTTGTGCAATTAAACGAGAGGGGGCACAATAATGCAGAGGTGAAATGTAGTCGCATGCTTGTGGTAACAAGCACAGAGCGGGCACGGAACCCAGTCGTAATTTTTTTTTAATGGAACAGTTGTTGCAATTGTGCTGAGTGACAGTCTCTCTCATTCTAACAAAGTGACTGAAAAGATAGAAACTTGCAACGAGGTTGGTTCAGTCACTTCCACTTAGGTCTGAATTTGAACTAACTGGTTATTAAACATTCATACAGAGTGTTCAAGAAGTGTCACCCTCTAATCGTGAGTAGTATATTTTTAAACTTTTAGCTGAAACCTGGGAGGTTAAGTGTGGTGGTACAATGTGCTGTCCCAAATGGTAGCTTTTTAAGAGGAATTCACATTTTCTGCTTGTTTGGTCATAAAGTTGAATGGGCATAATCTTTTCAATTAAGCACACTAACAGATTGAACTACAAATATTAATATTTTGTTCCTCTTATATAAAAGTCTTATATCAACACACACACAAAACATTGTTTTTGCTGGTTCAACACACACAAAACATTGTTTTTTTCCCCTAAATTGCTGCCAATTGACTAACTGGTTGCTCAGTTGGTGGAGAATTCCCAGCCACATTCATTGTGTTGAGAATTATTTCCTGCAAGCCATTCCACCCATTCCTCATTGAAATGCAATAGTTGCTTGCCTCCATTCCTACAGTTCATTGAAAGGAGAGAAGGTTGGAAAAAGGGCCCACAATTAATTAACATTTTCATATGTTGCGGATGTTAAAAATATTATGTGTAGTGTCATTGCTTGTGCTTCCTTAGCACAGTCAGAAGCACTTGGGAGATTTTCTTGCAAATGCATGGCCAGTAATATTGTGAGCAGCTTCTTTGACGTCCTCTACTCAGTTTCAGATAATGCCAATTAACATCAGAGACAGACATTACATTTTTTTTAAACCAACATTTCAAGTGCATTTTACTGATATAATGATAAAAACAGAAACACCTGCTAAGTGTCTTTTCACCCCAAGTAACTTCATTGACCTAGAAGGGAGTACTTAATAGAATACGGTCCTTCAACTGGGTGCAATTTATGCTATTGGCCTTGCAATAAAGAATGACATGCCTAAATTGTTGTGAAATGTATTCAACTGTTAACCAAAGGTGTTGAACATATTTCCCACTGCACTAAAGGCTAGTGACAAATGCCCTGCATCACAAATAACAAAGGCGAACTACAGTGCTAACCTGAACGATTTTTCAAGGTTAACACTGCATTACATCCATCCAATTTCTGATTTGATATTCTGATTTTTGAGCCGAGTCTTTTACTGAATGCGATAAAAAAAAATGAATAATATTTAAAAATATGGTGGAAAAACTTTAATAACATTTAGATGTATTTTGGTTGATAAATTCTCTTGCCGCGGTGAAAAACTGATATTTAATCAGTGTCCCACCAGGAGTAGAACAACACTCATGCATGCATAGCCTGAGATAAATCACAATAAGGAGTTACGCACTTGAAACAGCTGCCATACCAGACAATTGGGAGGAAAATAGGAATCGGGCATAAAAGCCTGTTGTAGCTGTATTGTGAAATGCAATTCTCTCAACTGTTAGGTGAATCGAAGCCCGACGATAATTAAAATCAGATACAAGAGAAGCTACGAGTCATTTTTGTTAAGATACGTGGTTTGGTTCAAGGTAAAAGGAAAGGCACCTGAACAATTACGAATGTTGCCACATTGTACATAGTGAGAAAATCCAGCTATTACCTGGCAGTGGCATTGAACACATAAATATGAGATGAGGATAAGATTGTGCCCCTGGCAGGTCGAAATTGCTCCAGTAATTGAAGTTTGATCAGTGTACAAAGTTCTTGCATGGCATTTTCAAACAGTACACATGTATTTTTGGTACGTGTACAGTACACTACTGATTTTTGTTGGATACAGAAAATAAAAACAAGGCAAGGTTTGCTGCAAAGTGCTCAGATTGCTGGCTTATTTCACAAGGTTCATTAATTTCTGAAAAACCAAACAATAAAATAAAGATACTAAATGCTATTGAAGCTTTTTTTCTTAAGATATGACAGTAATCATTATTACCGCACATTTGAGAGGCAGCTAATTCTGCGAGCATGATCATAGGCTTCACATTGATTATAGTACATATGTTATGGCACGACTTAATGATTAGAGAAAGGAGTTTCTTCCATCACCAAGTTAACAATTGCCCGAATAAAATTGGACATTGAATTCATGACTGTTTGTGGGTTAACGTTACATAGTCATTCCACTTTAAAATAGATCCTGTGAAGTGAACTGAAGTGAATTTAGACCCAGGTAGAATTTCTCATCAACAATCTGTAAAAATGCCCAAATCGGACTCTTTTGAAGATGCATATCTTCCCAAAGAAAAAAATCAAGGTCAAATGAATGTTTCACCTTACTCAATATGAGAAATGTTGGTCTTCACGACTTTAATAAACAGTAGCACAACCTGATCCCTACTATGTGACTCTAGTTCTTCTCTTTCTTCTAATTGTTCAGTTTTTTTTAAATCCAAACTCCAAATCGACAAATTCTTAATTGAATCAAAAAACGGCTGCAAATTTGTGGTGATTTATACTCAAAATTTCAGTAACTCAATATCAGCTGGATTTTGCAATACATTAAAGCCAAAGCCATGCTAATCATGGTATTGGGTTTTAAAGCTTGTAAAAATGTTAATGTATAAAAATTAAATATCATATTACATCTATTGAGTGTCAGGTAGTATCCAGATTGTATGAAAAACAGCTTTCAGCTGCCTCAATACATTTTGGAAAGCTTTGTGATTGAATTTAGGCTAGGTTCTTTATAGATTAATCCTAATGTAATGTATTGCTGTCTTCTCTATAAGACTGACAAAGCATTTTTATACCTTAAAGTCTGATGAGCTTCAAATGGCTTATAATTATTTCATTTGGGCTTTTATCAAAATCAAGGTTTACTTAATAAAGAGCCAATGGTAGAGGCAGAGGTGTGTATGATTACTGAATGTTGAACAAACAGCTACAAGGTTCCAGGCTGTCTTGAAATGCAATGGCTTTTATGGCTGAAGAATTCTTTGATTTTATTCACAGGACTACGCCGAAAAAGAGAAAGCAATAGCAAAGGCATTGGAGGATCTGAAGGCCAACTTCTATTGTGAATTGTGTGACAAACAGTATTACAAACATCAAGAGTTCGATAACCATATAAATTCCTATGATCATGCACACAAGCAGGTAAGAGTTTATTTATACTGGATGAACTCCTAAATGCACATACATAAAAAAATCCATTTAACTCGTTCATTACCAAAAACAACATTTGGTTTCCCCTTCACTGCAATTCCTGGCTTTTAGAAAAATGTTAAATGATAAATCTAGTAGCATTGACAAGAGAACAAAAAACAAAGTAATCAGTAATGAAATTAACAAGTTTCAAGTATTTCTATTAGTTGCAAGTTTTCTCGATGTATGGGTGCTGTTTCCAATTTTATAAATATTCTATCTTGAAGTCATGACATAAGAAAGTTTGTGACACTGACAAGGGAGACATGAGCAATGTTCAGAAATTCTATATAAACATGGGAAAATAGTAGATCCAAATAAATCAATTGAATTGCCAATGATTTGAATGCATTTTAATGCAGTCAATTCCAAGTAAGTGAATGACTGCAGAATGCACCGATGTTTGGAAAAATCCCATCCTCTTCATTGATACAGGAGTGTCTAATCCTATGTATAAATTTGGCAATTTATCTCCTACTATTTAAAACACGAATGTAATTTTTGACAAATCCACTAAAACACTGAAACTATGTCACATTGTGGTGGAAAATGTGATACGAGATGTGATGGGTATCACTGGTGTGGCTATCACTATTATTATAACCTTGAAATGATACATTTTGCCAATAAACCACATTACTATTGCAGCACACTTGATAAGTGCTTCTCCTCAGCGCATATACAACATGCACAATATATGAGAAAATTAGTGAAGTAGTGGCAGGATGGAGTCTATTGTATAATTATTCTGAGTTACAGTAATATAGCTCTCGTATTTAAAAGCCCTGGCACAAAGAGTAAATGCTAGGTTTTCCCTGTTCAGTTAGGGTTGATGCACTTGCGACCTACAGTTACTATAAAAAAACATGGAAATGGTGGTTAAATGGATAGCATATGTCACAGTATGTTGTTTAATGAGGAGAATAGGGATAGCTGGTCAGTAGGGATCTGCTCCTGTTAACATATCATCCAGTAACTTCAGGGAGTGACGCTGACTGAGATGCAGAATTAATGCAAGAAACTGTTTCTGCGAATTGAACAGCACAAGTCTAAAATGTTTAGATTTTAAGTAAAAATTCTTAATTGCCAGAATGTAGTAAGAAGCAGCAAAATGTTTTCTGCTGACGTGAAATTGAAGAGTAAAAAAAAAAGGCGTTGTACATTTTCTCTTTTGTGCACTAACCAATACTTCATTTCTATATTTGGAACCTGAATTGACATTCCTTTGAGGATTGTTCCTTTCACACAATATCCTTTTGTTAGGAGAGGGGCAGATGAACTACAAGATGAACACTATCAGCATTTGCCATGTTTGACAGCCGCAAGAATTTTGTGCCCAAAGAAAAAGAATCATTTTTAAGTTGCAGTTAGAATATTTGACAGACTCAGAACTGGGTCAGAGTCAGTTGGGTTCTGTATTTGGAGAATGGGCAGAGGATTTCATTCGGGGAGAGGTGGGAATAGGGATAATCAATCGATAACATACAATGTTCTTATTTTTATTTCTAAATATGTAAAGAAATATGCACGATTTTCACATACATTCAATCATTTTGGCCATTGAGGTCCTCCAAAAACTACTAAACACTAATAAAACAAACTCCACACTGCATATTGGATTATAATAAAGAATTATACAAATGGCATGCATCTAACACAAAAGGGACATTGTAGTAACTGCTTTGCCCTTTGGTTGTTCACTAATGGAATAAGTACGTAGAGCAATAATTGAGACTCATTTGAAACATTCAGAAAAGGAAATGAGCAAATTCTTAGCAGAAGATGAAGTGGGAGATAGAAACTTTGGACCCAGAATGAGAAGGAGATGAAAATGGTCCTAAGCATGAATATAAAATGCTTCTGTCCCTGATGTCTTCCAGGGATACATTCCTGACTGAATCAATACTGCTCCCACTATGGAGACATTTATTGATTTCATTGGATGTTTTTTTATTAGGAGGATACACCTACATTTGTATCTCACAAGTAATAGACACATGAGTTTCTGACAACTAAATGATTTGTAACTTACATTGGTTAGACTTCTGGTTGGTGAATAATGAAGTGTAAAACTGATGCATTTAAACACACAATTACTACATTCTCATTTGTAAAGGTGAAAATGGATTTGCTATTCTGCCACTTAAATGCACATTGCAAGTCCCGACTTCAAAACAGCACATTTAAATAATTACCCTTATTGTTACTGACTTCACAGAATACGCTCCCAAAGTAGTAATGTGAGATGAGCGGTGTAATGGGTATAAATGGATTTGGGAAATCTAGAACTAGGTTTGTAAATCTCAGCAATGCAGAATAACTCATTGCAAGGGTCTCGACCAACCTGAAATGCTCACTCTGACTCCAAGAAGACTAAGAGAGCAGGAAGGTGTTTGGGATGCAGGATTGCAACAAGAGGATGTTTGGTTGCTATGACTCAACATTTTAAGGGCGAATTCTAAACCATTTCAATAGCAGTATCCAATCCTCACCTGCACTGTGGCACAAGTGTCTTCACTTCATTTCCTGCTGCCCGACAGATTTGCTCAGCTAAAGCCTGACAAGCCAAGAGGGAAGGATAATTTCACCATGATGAAATTGTAGCTTGCATTTGTGTGTGTACACACGTGTACAAGCACATGCATGCATTCAAATGTACATGTATATCTTCAGCTAAAGAGAAGCTTTTGGCCCTATTCTTTCAGTCAGGGGCTTAGCTTTGATTGCCTTTCTGGCACCATCTGCTTAGAAGGATCATCCCACACATCGAAGTCAGGCATTCAGGAAGATCAAACCTCTTTTTAAATATACACAACACTGCCATGTTCTGAATCCTACACAGTCAGGGGTTAGGATGAACAGTTGGCTCACATTTTAAACTATGTGACAGGATGTGACAGTTTACATGGCCCTATCTATAAATATTTTATTTTGCTTTTTCTTGCATGTGATCTTTTCGGGGGTATTAACTCAGTTTGTTTTGTTTCGTCTGCTAAGCTGTAAATAAAACGTCTCATAAAGTAAGGAGGAAACCAATGAAGAAAGGCACGCTGAACTATAATTAAAAGAATAGATGCCCACACTGTGCATAATTGATGGCAAGCGGCTCTGAGAATATATCACCATATTCAACTAGCGTAACACAGCAAGGAACAATGTAAGCAGGATGCTGGGATATATTGGCAAACGAGTTGAGAGCAGATTCCCAGAAGTCATACAGGCTCAGTTTAGGCTGCACCTGGAGTTCCATTTACTGCTTCATAAGCGGTACCTCTTAGACATGTGATAAACATGATAGCACCTTGTAGAGGTGCATACAACCACTGTTTAATACTTTACGCAAGGGTGGGGGGGGTAATTACTTTTAATGTAACTTTGAATCGGACAAAGCTCATCGTTCAGCACCATGCACTTCTTAAAGAAAGTAAAGAAAAAGGGCATTGGGGCGCAAAATGCGACTTTTGATATAATCAACTGTAAAAATTGAGTTAATCCAGTATCTTATGAACCAGCACTGAAATGCCTTGATCCACCAGGCAGCAGGTTTCATGGTGCCATAGCCCAGCTCAATGGCTGGTGTGGGATGGCTCAATCCAAGTTGATGTGTCCAAATCCTTTTACAGTCTTACCTTTGTCAAAGGCTTCTGAGCATTCAAGTGTAAGTAAATCTGGCGGTCAATGCAGAGGAAAAGAATAAAAGATGGTAGAAAGGTGGGGTGGAAAAAAAATGTTTTAGAAAGTAGAGAGGAGATGCATTCTTATTCTTTAAAAAAGGGAATATTTATTTTGGCAGTGCCTGGTCAAGATGCAACTTTTCCTTTCTAAGCGCTCTGAGACACTACCCTCCGGGGAGGGGTTATATAAATGCAAGTTGTTGTTGTTTCTTCTTTGAGTTTCCTAAAAGTTGAGGATTAGATCCTATTCATTTCAATAAGTTTAAACTCAACCCTTCTCAGGGGATCTTCTGTGACATGGAAGATGCTGAGTTTGCTGAACTAGGAGTGAATGGAGATTTCTTCCCACTCATATCGACATTACCAGTACACATGGCAACTTTTCTGATTGCCCTTTGGCAGGTTCTCTCATGCACAATTGCATGGTCAACCTCTGAAAGTTATTTATCATTTTGGTTCGATATATGAATAATTTCAACGCACAGTTGTTGAATTTGATCTGTGTTGTGCCTTCCCTCGCTACCCACACGCCGTGTTTGGAAAACATCTGTTCCTCCGCAAACCAGCTTCAGCAATTGCCTTTTTGATATATGAGCATGTGTGTATCTCTGCATTTCAGAGATCAAAGTTTTCAGCAAATTTGTGACAGTCCAGAACGTGCAGGGAAAGTGTTGTCTTGCTGTCAGTGTGGAATCTGTTCCACCATCATATTGCAGGATCCGTATTAATTATTTCTTTCCTCTCATTACATTCTTGCCAGGAAGCACAGTTACTTCCTTTGGTTATGTTTGCCAAGAAAGTCCAGCTCCTTTCCACCATCTGTTCACAGCATATTTGTAGGATTGGGATAGTTAGCATGGATGATGATAAAATTACAATTGGCAGGAGGTGCAGATCCCGATCAGTCAATTGCAGGCCAGAAAAGTGACCTCAGGTGAGTACTCAGGCAATGATTTCTCTGCCAGGAGCATTAACTTGTTTACCAAACAGTAAATGGCCCCCTTTTTTAAAAAAAATGCCTGACCTTGATGACCTAGGTTACTAAGTGATTCTCTGCAAACCATAGCACTTTACAACAGCAATAAACTAATCAATTAGCCTTTGGAACAAATCTGTATAAGGATTTTGGATGCAGGTGCCCTAGAAAATGAATGTTTATCCTAATGTAATTACTTTAACTCTGTGCTGTCAATATAATTCCAGTGTGATTTTGATCCTACCAGTGTACACACATATATGTAGTTAATATGTTATGGATAGTATGTATGTACACTCGGA